GTAGTTCAAGTGGCTCGGGGACATCTACTCCCCTCACCTCACCATACTGGGGAGGATGGGAGATGTAGTTCAAGTGGTTCAGGGACATCTACTCCCCTCACACACCTAGGCTGGGGAGGATGGGAGATGTAGTTCAAGTGGCTCAGGGACATCTACTCCCCTCACACCCCCAGGCTGGGGAGGATGGGAGGTGTGATTCAAGTGGCTCAGGGACATCTACTCCCCTCACCCCACCAGCTGGGGAGCATGGGACATCAGCCTAGGGACAACGGGAAAGAAACCGGGAGGGGGCCAGGGAAAGAAATCCACGGGGGGACCCCAAAGGAGGGGGCACCCTCGAGGCGAAGCAGCGGGGGGAAGGGGGAGCCCTTTCGAGGGGACACCAACAGGAAAAGGGGTGACGCGGAAGGGGAGAACCCCCCCCAGTCCGTCAGAGGGGGAACTTTTACGGGGGGACAACCCCGCCAAGGGCCAACCCCACCCACCCCCATCCCCGCCAGGCACTCACCAATCCCGCGGATCCGGAGCGGCTCTCGGCGTCGCTGGCTCCGAACACCGGCCTCCGCGTCGAACAGCCAAACACGGCGAAAAGAGGGCGGGCCCCGACGTCACTGCCACGTACCCGCTCAGCTGATGGCGTCACACGCACGGCGCCGCCGCGCCGCGCCCCTCGCGCGGCTTCCTGCCGGCCGTCGTACTGGTGACGTTTGAAGGAGAGGAAGGGCGGGAGGACAGTTGCTAGGCGACCCGGGAGGGCTTTTGAGTGGCGTTGGGAAAGCGAGGACTGCGTTCCCTCATGGTTGCTAAGGCAACCAAAGCAAACAGGGCCTAGTGCCTTTCCTCAGCCTTACTTGAGCGTAGGCTCTCTTGAACTCCCAACAGTCTCTTCTCTCCATAGACAAGCAGCCATTTCCCAGCAGTTAGGCAGGCAGTGTCGCGATATCTAGAAGCTGCTGGGGTGCAACAGGAAGAATTTCAATGTTTAGAAAGGCTGCACCCTGTGCATTGGTACAATGCAAGGATGTGGACTTCAACTTCCATAATTCTCACCCATGGCCATGCTGGCTGTGGAATTCTGGGAGTTGAAGTCCCTATGTCTGGAACGGGCCAAAGGTGCTGAAACCAATACCAAGGAAGACAAAAAGCAGATTTTCAGCCGATCAAAATTTTTATTTATTTTTCTTCCCCACACATTGCATTGGATTGACACTCTATCACTCCCCCCAGCCAACCACATCAAGGTTGGCTGGGGGTGATGGGAGTTGCAATCCAATGCATACAAGATTTATGTTTCTCCACGATGGGAGCACTTTTAGGATTGTGGACGTCAACTCCCATAATTCTCACCCACAGCCATGCTGGCTGGGGAGTTCTGGGAGTTGAAGTCCACTCATCTCAAAGCATGCTGGCTGTGGAATGCTGGGAGTTGAAGCCCATGCCTCTTCAAAATCCCCATGTTTGAAAAACACTGAATAAAAACCATTCTTTCAGACCCAACCAACCCATTTTCTGACTACTTCCTTTGCACCACGCACAACAACCTGCAATTTCATAGGAAACATACATGATAATGAATGTTTATTCCCCATAGCTGTACAACTTCCGATATGTTGGAACCGAGCTGTCGCAACACTAGCTAACTCTTCTGTCCAGCGGTCACAACGCAGTCTCGGCACTGAAATTGCTAATCTGGGAGCTTTGAGGAAGTCTTTCGCTGGGTCCGGCTGTTTCTCCTTCCAGGCGCTTGTTAAATTCATGGGTGCTGTTGAAAAGGGACCAACGCCTCCAAATCACAGTGACCTTGGCACTTTCCGATCTGGATGCCAACCCGGACTTCTTCACATCCAGCCCTTTTTTATGGCCGTCCGATTTTTTCCGTAATGAGAGTTTTCTCTTCTTCTTCCCTGGCAAGGCGAGAGAAGAGCAGGAAGATTAAATCCCAATTTAGGAAGGGATCGACTGACTGAACAGAGCTCGCTTTTTGCAGGCAGCTGAACCAGAAATCAAAAAACTGTGTTAAAGTTAAGTTTTTAGTTAGGTAAACTTGACAGGGGGTTGGACTAGAAGACTTCCGAGGTCTCTTTCATCTCTCTTATTCTGTTAATCAAGGAGAGAAGCAACCAAGGAGAAATTGCTTGACAGTGAGAATTATTAACCAGAGGAACAACTTGTCTCCAGAAGTTGTGGGTGCTCCATCAACTGGAGGTTTTTAAGAAGATACAGGACAATCATTTGTCTGAAATGATATACGGGTTCCTTGCCTGAGCAGGGGTTGGACTAGAACACCTCCAAAGTCCCTTCCAGCTCTGCTATTACTGTAGTGTGCGGCGGCAGCCAAAAAGCCAATGTAATCCTAAATTGCATTAACAGAGGGATACACTCGAGATCAAGTATACTAATACCACTCTATAAAACCTTAGTAAGACCACACCCAGAATACTGCAACCAGTTTTGGTGAAAGATGTTGAGACTCTAGAAAAAGTGCTGAGAAGAGCAACCAGGAGGATGAGGGGATTGGAGGGTGAAACGTACGATTGCAGGAATTGGAATAGGTCTAGTCTAGGGAAGAGAAGGACCACAGGAGACGTGATAACAGTCTTCCAATATTTGAGAGGATGCCACAGAGAGGAGGCGGTCAAGCTATTTTCCAAAGTACCTGAAGGCCAGACAAGGAATAAATGGAAACTGATCAACCTGGAAATAAGGGAGACATTTTCTGACAGTGAGAACAATCAGAAGTTGCTCTCGGAAGTTGTGAGAGCTTCATCTCTGGAACTTTTCAAGAAGAGACTGGACTGCCCACCTGTCAGATATGGTGTGGGGTCTCCTGCTCGAACAGGGGGTTGGACTAGATGACCTACAACAGGGGTCTCCAACCTTGGCAACTTTAAGACTTGTGGACTTCAACTCCCAGAGTCTTAAAGTTGCCAAGGTTGGAGACCCCTGACCTACAAGGTCCCTTCCAACTCTGTTAACCTGTTATAAAAGGGCCAGCTCAACCCCCCCCCCCATTTTTTGGAAGCCTTTCAGATGTGCTAGGCCCAGATCCGGGTTGGGAAACACACATTCCCACGATGCCAGCTAGGTTTGAAGAAAGGAAGGGTTAGAAATACTTCCCTCCATGGCAGTGAAGATTTGGGGGGGGGGGGGGAGAACCCCCAGGAGCGGACGACCCCCCCCCCCCCCCCGCTGCACAATAAGCCACGCCCCGTTACGCCCCCGAACGTTCCATCGGGAAGCTCCTCCCACCCACGTGGAGCAGAATCCCCGCCTGGGATTCCCTTTAGGGCCGGTGGTGGGGGGGAAACCCCAACCTCCCTCCTCCTCCGCCGATCCGCCGCTCACTTTGTTCCGTCTGCGTGGAAGTCGATGTCCGGGGAGACCGACCCGTGTCTTCCTCCGCGTCGGAATGCCCTTCGTTGGATTCCACGCAGCCCATCGCCCGCCTGGATGGGGGGCCCAAGCCCCCCCCCAGTAAGGGACGCGGGGCCGCCGCCCGCTGCTGCCTCCGATGCCCTGGCGGCTTTTGTGAGCTCACACCGCCGCCGCCGCCGCCCTCCCCGGTGCCCCCCCCCCTTGCCCCCCCCCGGCCAGGGGGATCGCGGGGGGGGGCCCCCCCCCCCCCCCATCGCTCCCCCCCCCCCCGGGCCCCCCCCCCCCCCCCGCCCACGCGTGATCCTTTCCCCGAAGCCATTAAACCAGGTTTCATTTGCAAGGGGGGGGGAGAAGCATTTAAAAACGAGGGTCAATTCAAAAGAAGCCCCCCCCCAGGTGAGGAGCAGAAGGTCGTGGGAATTGGGGGGGGGGGCTGGCAGGTGTGTTTGGAAAACTAGCGTTAAAAATTAAAGGCCATTTTAATTTTAAATGTTCCCAACGGATCCTTTTTAAGGTTTTATACCGTTGCTTTTTTCCCCCCAGAGGGGGCTTTGAAGAAGAGATAAAGAGGCTGAATAGAAATTGAACCATTTTATAGGCAGCCTATATAGAACAGGGGTCCCCAAAACTTGGCCACTTTTAAGACTTGTGGACTTCAACTCCCAGAATCCTCCTAAAATAGCTGGCTGGAGAATTCTGGGAGTTGAAGTCCACAAGCGGCCAAGGTTGGGGGCTCCTGCTATAGAATAAAATAATAAAAAAATAAAATCAGAGGCTGGGGCAGGAAAGGGGATGGAGACTACACCATAGGGGGAAAAAGTTTTCCGGTTCAGCTTTTGGCTCCCTAAAGCCTTCAGATAGACTGCTTCTAAACCTGGAGGCTCCATTTCCCCCAAGGGAGCGAATAACCATTTATCGAACTTCTCTTTCTCTTCAGCAATTTTAAAACTTGTCCTATTGTTAATTTATTCCATTTGCATGCTGCCCACCGCACACGACTGGGGGCGTCTGGTGATAAAGATAATGATTAATACAAGATGATTAAAATTATAATTAATCCCAGATAAGAATAACCCACTGGGGTTCGGGCAGACAGCGTATTCAATTGAATGAGTAAATTACCTCCTCTTGAACTCAATCCGGTAGCCTGATAAACCACTTCAAGTGGCAAGGACCTTTGTCAAAGGACGCCTGACTTGCTTAAAACACAGATTTATTTTTTTCCTGGCTGCTGTGCTTGTGGATATTCTTTCTGCATCTCACACACGTACTTTCTAGCTCACAACAAACGCTATTCCTTTTTTTTTCCCCTTAAGCAACTGAAGAGATTTCTTCTTAAGAGGTTATATCCCTCCTTTATTTATTTTTCATAAATAACTCAAGGCAGCAAGCATACCCCTAACACCCCTTCCTCCTCCTCTCCCCCCCCCCCCCCCACAACAACCCTATGAGGAAGAGGGACTGGCCCAAAAATCACCCAGCTGCATTTCACACTTAAGGCAGGACTAGAACTCCCAGTCTCCTGGTGATTGACCCAGTTACCCAACTGCTTTCATGCCCATGGCAGGACTCGAACTCCCAGTCTCCTGGTGATTGGCCCAAAGTCACCCAACTGCTTTCATACCTAAGGCAGGACTAGAACTCCCAGTCTCCTGGTGATTGGCCCAAAGTCACCCAGCCAGTTATCATGCCTATGGCAGGACTAGAACTCCCTGGCTCCTGGTTTCTAGCTTGCTGCCTTCATCACTGGACCAAACTGGCTCACAACTAAACTAAGAGATTTGAGTAAGTCTCTTTATTAAAAGGACTTGGCATCTAAATCCCTTAGAAGTTTGCAAACTACACATCTCTTTGTAGGATACAACCTATCAAATTATTTTTTTTAGCACAATGTAAAGCAAGCGGGGTCTTTCAAAGTATCTCCAGTTCTTGATTCGAGCTCAGCTGCCGCATCCCAAACCCACAAATAATCACCTTAATGAGTCGTAGCGTCTTGACATCACGCGATCACTTACCTGTGAATATCCCAGCCTACCTCCAACAAGAACAATCAATGACTGGGTGAGAGATTCGCTTAATCGCTTGCCGTTGGCTTAACGACTGTGGCCCAAAAGGTGGTAAAATCGGGTGCGACTCCCTTAACGACCGCTTCACTTAGCAGTGGGAATTGTGCTCGTTAAAACGAGGACTAGCATAAATAAAGACAGGTGTGCAGAACGGAACCCAACCCCTTTGCAGTTTTTAAACAAACCCCAAAGCCGA